TAGTCGAGGTTAGTGTTGCTTCTTTTTTTACATGATAAATCGCACGACTGTGAAAATTGACATCAGGTGTTTAGAAACGTTGAGTCACATTCAGCGACGATCTTGTGACGATTACTATCACTATGACAATTGTCTTAAACGCGGCACTATTTTTCGCACGAATTTGCATCGTCTCAAAGATCGATCAATCTCTATTTTCTCTATTTGTGAGAAAAAAAATGACTAACTTCGTCCTAGTTCTGAAAGAATTCTCAGCAAGCATCTCTACTTTTATTTATATTTCCGAAAGTGGCGAATTAGCGAATTACTTCGAATGCCTATGTCGTTTAATTAATAGATGTATGTACGAATATTATTTGGCGCGCTCGAGTCTAGATTTTTCAGTAAAAGATCTCAATTTTCAGTTTGCAGAAATGTTATTTTACTTTACACAACACTCGCGTAATCTGAACTATAAAATTGTTTAACGTGATCCTTAAATAAAAGAAGCTATTCCAACGCTAATCTTCCTGTGGAATCAAACAGTGAAACACGATATTCCAAATTTGGAACTGATGACATTTTTATTTATTTGCATCTCAATTATATTTTTCTCTATTCTTTTTTTAACACGAATAATCACTACTAATCTAATTAATATCAGAATTACGAGTGGTGGTAATTTTACGTTCCCGAGTATATGCGACTTGCTATAACATTGTCGCGTCTTCGATAATTGTCTGAGATCGCCGGTGGATTTTCACCGATTCAACGTCCGGAATCGATCTTGATCCTCGATTGAGACGGCGCGACGGAAGTCGTAAAAAGTGTCATTGAGAACCGAGACTACCGAGAGAGCCTTCGACTACTCTCCAGGGCTCTCGATGGAAAGCGCAATATGCATGCGTGCGTGCGTGCCGACCTTGAGGACCTCCACCATGACTCGAATCGGAAAGAAGCCACGGGTACACGACCCACGTCGCGCTCGCACGTCGCCGTCACACCTGTCGAGCCCGCTGTCGTGCGTCGCGGATCGCGGTGACATCGGCGGTGGAAAGCGGCCTCCTACTCTCGTCTTTCATTTCTCGCGCGCACTTCCGAACGTAACGCGCGTTGAAAAGTATCTACGTGAAAAGTATCTGTGCGAGAAGAAAAGAAAATAAACCGAAAGAAAGAGAATAGTGTATAAGCCGCGCATCCGTGCGCCACGGTTCGCCGCGAAAGTTGCCGATCGATTGACCTTTCGTTCTGAAAGTGAAGGAACCTTCGATCAGGTGAGTATCGAAAGTAAGCTTCAGTCGCGTGACGAGTAAAATTGACTTATATTCTCAACATTGATTTATTATAACATTGAGAATTCGTTGTCCGCCGTTTTTTAGGTATGCGGAACGTTTTGTCATCCACGACATTTCATTTTAATGAGCTTTCAGACAAATTTAACCCTTTGGTATCACTCTGGGTGTGGCATGTTCGAACTTTCTTTTTCTATAGTGTTTCTAATGCTTGTGACTTTTTTTTAAATAAAGACACGTACATTTACTTGGTACTGCTATGTTCCTTAATGACGGTTTTCATTGAAAAAATTCTTTACGATGTATTCATTTTTACGAAAGTTACAAGCAATCAAATTGGATTAGGTATGTCATATCTAAGTGTGTCGTTCATGTAGTGTGGCACCAAAGGGTTAAAATTGATTTTTCTTCAATGAAGATATATCAAAAAGATATCGTCATTTCTCATAACTTTTCAATCACCGTTTCATTTATTCGGCTACCTCGATTTATTTCGTTTCAATAATAGAATTGCTTTGATTTATTTACTTCTTTCCTGAAATCGCTTAATGTGTTAATTCATTCTTACTCGTGATGTGACATTATATAGATGAAAAGCATTTCCAATTTTATTTGTATCTCTGCAAAGAAATTGCAGAGATGTAAGTCTTAATACGCATTTGTCAGACTCTTTATCGCACATTACTCATGTTCTCTATTCAAACAAGCTTATCCGGTCATTAATTTGGTAAATCTCTCTCTAAAAGTCTCTTTTTGATGCTCTCTGGAAATAAATAAAAAAAAAAAACACCTGCAAACGCGATCAACAAATATTAACTCGAGATTCCTCTCAGTTGAATCATCCAATCATGATAATCGAGTGATAATTAATATTCATTCGATTTATTCTATCGCGAGACGGCCCATTAAAGAGAGTCCATTAAGAAGGCGTCCTTTCTCGTACAGACATTACTGATCGTTTAGATCACTCGATTTGGTCACGGGGGCTAAGTGATCCGGAAGGGGCAGGATGCAATTAGCAGTGCTCGGAAAGTTAATTTCGTAGCTTACGTCCGATCGCCAAAATCGTATACGCTGAACCAAATCTCGTTACCCACAATTAATTTCCATCCGGTTCTCCATTGTTGTTGCTACTTATTGTTAGCGACCAATCTCCGCAATTACCGTTCGCCAAATCCGCCATCTCTATCCTATTCTCTGGCCTTTTCAAAATTCGAAAAGTACCAGCATTTACGTCTGTAATCGTCACTCTGTTATTATTGCAGCTAGTAGCAGCCGATCTTGACGATCACGGTAGATCGACTAAGCATGTAGGTTTAAGACTTTACGATCGTAAAGTCTTCCAAACGTGCGATCGCATTGTTGAAGACACGATTTACAATAAGAGATGATAAATGATGTATTTAGCGTGAATAAGTGTCGGAGAAAGAAAGTCAGAGACAAACGTTCACGATGATCAGCACGAAATGTTCCAATCGCAGTGATATAACTGCACTGAAAATATATTTTCTTCACTTCTTTGTAGATTTCACTTTCAGGTTACGGTTTGTTGATTGTCACATTATCATAACGAAATCACGTAACTTGGCTAATCTTTGATTCATGTACATATAATTAAACGGCAAGGATAAAGATGAAGAATAATTTGAAGGCTTGTCAGATATGGTTACTTGAAATATACGTCAACTTAGAGCGAAATAAATAAAGTTCTTTAAATTTTAACTTTAATTAGTTTTATTATACTGGAATGATATTCTTAATTAGCTACTCTCTATCGTAAGCAATTCAGTTTGAAATTTTAATTTAATTTAATGTAATTTAATTTAATTTACTTTATTGCAAGGCTCTATAAAAAGACTATATGTTAACAGAGTAACGTATAATTTTTATATAATGACTTTCCAAACAAATCAAATTAATTAATTCAGCCGTATAAAAGCCAAACGATGTGTTGACGCAATGTATAATTTTTATATATATAAAACGATGATATAATAATGGATAAACTTTTCGACCTTAAATTAAGTCATCCTCTCTCAGTATCCAAATAAATTATAAATTATAAATCTTACTTTATACGATATTTATAAACGCCACATAAATTTATTTCATCCGCTTATACATTGTTCTTGTGATCTCAGTCGTTTATCTATTATTATATCATCGTTTTATATATATAAAAATTATACGTTGCTATCATCTTGCGTTTGGCTTTTATGCTTTTGAATTAATTAATTAGAGTAACATATAGTACAATAAACTATAATAGCTTGTAAATAGTTAGGCATCAGCATAACTGAAAAATCTTCATTAAATATAAATATCCTAGTTGGCTAAAAATTATTGTCAAAAAAATAATTTTATACAAGAAGTTATTATAATAATAAAAGCCATAATTTAACAAATATTCTATGTAGAAAAATCTGCAAACGTTTTATTTGATTCATATTAATAATTGATACTGTCAGTAGAATAATTTTGCAAGAACCGATTATCGGTTGGCAAAAATATCCTAATTTTTCAATCAATTTCGGCTACCTCGTTTATAAAAACGAGTAAAGGGGAGCCACAGACGAGAAATTACTCAAAAATACATACAGGAGAGCCGCTACCGTGATCCGTTCGATAATTCAATTGTGGTATAATTGCTGGAGAAAGAATGTGTAAGCAAAAACGTTGCTGTTCGAAGAAAAAAATGCATTAAAATTTTTTTCCTACCAGAGCAGGACGTTCTTATTAATAGTTTTGAAGCTGATGACTATGTAGTCATCTGTGGATATTTTATACGATCGAATAAAGTATTGGATTCTAATATACAAAATCTCGTTCGTTTTTATGGAATTTTTTTTATGCGCAGAAATGTAATTGTTCTCTGTTTCTTGCAATAGATACTTTGAACGTGCATATTTTCCAAGGGTCCGTGCCTTTCCAACAATCAATGACTATGTTTCCGGGGTGGCATTTTGTGGCACCAAATATGAGTTTAAAAGTCCTCTTTTCAGGCGGGATAAATCCAATTTTTAAACGCAAGGAGAAATCGAGCTGACCTTGAAAACATTCAAAGACAAAAGCAACTTGATAGCTATTCTCGACATCACTTGGATAAATCGTGCCTAACACAACTTGCCAGTAAATGCGAAAGCTTTCGACAGAGCGACTCCTTATTTATTCATTTCGTTTATAAAGAGACAATTGAAGCGTGTGTGCATAAATATATTGGTATTCCTCGACGCGTAGAGTGAATCGTGCGGTTCACGCTAGCGAGAAATGCGAATTCCCTCTAAAATGTCAGCGGGCGGCGGATGTTTCTGACTACGTTAATATCGAGGCATTTGTATTGGTTGGTCTTCTTTGTGAGTCCTCTGTGTGTGTGAGTTCTTCAGAAAGGTGTTTCCATCCAAAAATACATTTTATTTGCCTACCTCACGAGGCATTTCCGACAATGAGACAACGCTTCTCGATCTTTCCCGCGGGTCACTTTATCGCCCACGATCGATGCTATACTATATACTAGACAAAGTTCCTAAGCATAAAAAAATCAGAAGCATGCATTATAGTTGATCGGAACGAGAGAGAGAGAGAGAGAGAGAGAGAGAGAGAGAGAGAGAGAGAGAATGAATGAATGAAGAGGGAGGAGGGAGGGAGGGGGAGGGGGACAATGTAGGAAAGTCGCAGGGGGGTTTCGAGTGGCCCATTTCTCTTATCACGATAAAGCCTGGGCTTGGCTTGATCATCACGGAACTCAACGCATCGGGGTGATTCGCTTTTCAATTGCGATTCGTTACGATCGTTCTCCAGTCGCGAATCCGTCATCGCGATGATGAGTACGACAAGCTCGCTGTCGTCGCCATTGCCGTCTCGCTGTGACTATCATCGACATGGATGATCCAAAATCGGCTAACGAAGTTAGGATGGATATGGAACTGGTAACCCAAGCGTCGTTCAGCTCGCTGCAGAAGGAAGACGACGGACGCATCATCTCTTCCGATAGCTTTGACGAGTGGACGTGGTCTGGTCTGCGGGTAAGTGAACGATTAATTACACGTAAGAGGACCATCTGCCTTTATCGACGAATGTTTAAAAAGTCTCAATTGAATGAGTACTTTAATGAGCTTATACTCTTGGCACCTCACTCTTAGCAGACTATACGGCGTCTTATCGTCTGATCCACATTACCGAGAATTTCGATATAGCTATCTTTCATAATTCATAATTAAATGTATATATAAATATAGGCAATGCAATTTTTTATATTTTAAAGATTTGTATTATTTTATTTATAAACTTTTTTTTTCTTGGATTCTCAAACTCAAATTCTAGGTTGAAAATCTATGATAGTGAAAGTATTTTGTAAAGCTTAAGTTCCTGAATCTATCTCGAACTTTGCGGTGTGCTAAAAAATCTCGGATTAAATAAACGACTATTTTAACATTCTTGAAATCTTGAAATCCTTGACCATGCATTTCTTTCAGTTTCTTTCTATAAAAGAAACCTTCTAAAGTGCAAATATAATTTATAAACGGTTGTATATCTTGATTTTCAATTAAAACTTCTGATTAAATATCGAAGTTATTGTTCGCTAAAGCTCATTAAAAGGACTCGGCAATGAAGAATTTGCATTAACAATAGAGCGTAATCGCAATAAGAGAATTTCGTCAACGATTCGGAACGTCCCAGTATTGATAACGCTCTGGGACGATGTTACCTGGAAAACAAGATTGTGGAAGAATTTTTAACGCGAGAGTCACTATCAGAAGGAAATGACTCGTCAAGTGAATGAGTGAGAAAGAACGAGTGAATTCTTTGAAAGTGCTGCTTATCGAGCGCGGCGATCAATTTATCTATGGCCGAAGGATGTTCACTGTAATGCTCGAAAGCTCTAGAAGAGCCTACGTAAAGCTGAAAGAAACCTTATTGCTTCTTTTCCTACCCTTCTATTCTTGGGCGGTGTGAGTTATTATAATTACTGCAATTAATTAAGCGATTCAAGAAGGAAATGTCATAAAAATCGATGATAATAATTTTGGAGGAAATTCCATTCTTAAAGAAGTTTCTACGATAATTTCCTATTGAAAATAATGTCACTTTTATTGCATCGAATTATTTAAGCACCAAAGATTCAGCTTCGACTTATTGTTTCACGTATTATTCTCTTCATTCGTTCTGCACATGTGAATGTTTTCCTAATCGCCGAACGGAATAACTTGTTTAATTGAAATCATTTTTACGATTCGAAGTTTGTTTTGAGTTTTGGTTGAGTTGAGTTTTCGTTATACTATAATAAATCAATATATTCGGGGGACTAATGAGAATGTCGATCAGATCTCAATTAATCCTCCCACTCGAATGCGGTTGCTGTGATGAAATCGATAATCTCATCCAAGCAGTTTTTGTCCATGTTTGCTGATTCGAGGAATTTCGATAGCAAGATATCTCTGTTTTCAATATATCGGAAAATTTTTTAGCAACACAGTAAATTGCAACCCGATAAATACTGCAGAGACAACTTTCGGAGATACGAAACTACGAGTTCCAACGAAATCGCACGGTACATATTGCAAAAAAATGTTGCAAAAATGTGCAGTGTAATAGTTTAAATGTTTATGCAAAATCGATATGTTTTTCATCTAATACTTATATCATTATCTAATAGAGCAGTCATTTATGGATCAGCGCCATTTATCATTACCGAATGACATTGAATTGAAAGGGTTGAAGGAAAGAACAAAGAGGGCGATGAATAATAGTGAGAGTGAAAGACAAAAAAGGGAAGAGATGGAGAGGCGCAAAGGAGACCTGCTGCGCGAATTCGGGATTGAAGATCAATATTCAGCGAGACGAAAGAGAGTGAGAGAGGGGGGAGAGGGAGAAAGAGAGAGAGGGAGAGAGAGAGAGGGAGAGAGAGAGATTCACCAAGCTGAGCGGGAACGTGAGGATAAAACGCACGCGCGAGACGAAAGCACGAAAGCACGTTTCCCCCGGCTGCTGCTGCTGCTGCTGCAAGTGGAGGTTCCTTCAAGCGCACCTTCGCTAACCGTTGCATTTTAGACGGATGCGACTTTTCAGCGGGTGTGGTC